TACAGTGAAATCGTGCAAAAACATTAAAATTACATTGAAAAAAAATAACATTAGTCGTCAAAATCATGCCACCGTTTTCAAGACCCTGATGTCCGAGTGGTAATTTCACCAAAGCGAAAGTTTATTCCTATAACAAATATTTTGGTTGGATCTTATTTTGTCACTTGGCGCACGCCAATCACATGGGCTGAAACGTTTTTACTTGTCGGGCCAAGCTGTTGTGTGTTCGCACTTCAAAATCAAAAATCTTTTCATGATGATTTCTCAATCTTGTATTCAATCGCCAACGTTTATATGTTAAACAGGCAAAATGATATGATATGAATTTTATTTAGTACAATGGCCTTAGGTCTTTGGTACAATAAATCAAAAATAGAAAAATACATACAGAGGGATTCCTTTAAATAATTGTTGAATGTACTAGTCACAACTGGTTAAGTAGATTGCATTTAGAAGCGTAGAATACCAATTTTGAAATTTGAAGTACATATAAGTTGTCAAATTGCATTAAACGAAGAAATTTTCGTAAGTCTGATTTGACTTATAAGATTTTCATAACGTAGACATCATCAACCAACCCTAAATTACATAATTTATAGATTCACATATTTCTCGGTATGTTTAATTTACGATCAGATTCAAACCGAAAGTTGTGGGATGATGTTCCACAGGCAAAATAAATTCAAATTGCCGAATAATTTATAAGTTGGTGATAAAAATCGTCCGTACGTTTTATTTATTGTCTGACCTGTTTTTTAAAAAAAACGTATATTTCAGGTAAAGTTTCGGACAAACACCACATGTGTGCAACATGTCCACAATGTAGCAAGTGAGATGACAAACCGATTTACATGGATATATGCAGTGGTAATAGGAGCATAAACCCAACTGTAGGATGAACCATGTTGGGTCAGCAAAGCGGATGTTGGAGGATTGGGCCGTTGTTTTATTATAAAGATCTCAGGAAAAATACAACATGAGGTATGTATGTGAACAAAATGTCATTTTAAAATAGTCCAACAACTTTTTACTCTTGATGGTGTTTTGCTGGAATATAAGAGTAATGGAAGGTTAATCAATTGATTGGCTATTATGTCTGTCATTGGGTGTGTTTTTTTTTTGCAAGGATTGTTTGCTGAATTTGTGAATTGCTGTAATTTTTATTTTGTGTGTTTGTAAAACACTCTTGTAATAAGTCTTGCTTTCTGCAGCTAATAACCTATATATACGTGGCTATCAATTGTAGGTATACAACGTACATTGGTGATGGCGATTCATCTGCATACAGGGCCGCTAGAGACACGTATATAGATAAAGGAATTGTAATAACGAAATAAGAGTGTCTTGGACACATCCAAAAAGGATGGGCACTTATCTCAACAACTTATGGCAAACAAAGAAAGGTGAACTTAATTCCTCTCTCTGTCTCTCCTACATTCATGTCAAAATGTAAGGTCCTATTGGGCATTTTAAAAATTATTTTTTATTAATTTTTACATATACT